TTTTGTTTGATTTATTCTTTCAAAATCTCAATCTTGATTAATTGTAATGTTTATTCTATTTTTATCACTAAAATTTCTTTTATACTATTAAATCAAAATGTCTATGCTAAAATTAGGAATAGTAAACGATGAGTATAATCCTGTTGGGAGCGTCATCCCCGAATGGGTCCTGCAGTGCGCGATTCGGATTTAGTCAGAGCTCCAATGTGGGCTCCAAACACCGGCTGAGAAACCAAAAAAAAAGAATTCGCTCAACTAATTTCAACATTTCCAAATTTTGATATAAAGTAAAATATACATATGAAAATCATTGTAAAACAAATTTAATGTTGAAGCTATAATTTTAAAATGTAATGAATTAATTATAAGAATTTAAAGATTAAATCCGTCAAAATATAGATTCTAAATCTGTCTCTTTTTAATCATCCATACATCTTCTTCTTGAAATTCCAAAATTTGCTTCACATACAAGAGCAAAGCTATGAGTAAAGGGTAAATTTGAACCTCATTCAATGAAAAATTATAGTATTCTCTATGTGTGTATAGTGCTTATTGGATTTCTTTAATTTCTTCATAATCGATCAAGAACTAATTAGTGATTCACGTGAACTCAATAACTTTTAATCGTATACTCTATATAACAGTACCCACCGGCCACTAGAAAGGCTGTCATCCACTTGAAATAATGCCAATCAATTTTATGGGCAAAAGTTATTTGCTAAAAAGCAATATGTCCTGTAAAGTTCAACCCATCATCCATATATTTTATTATATAGTGACCACGTTTTTCATTTTAGAATGTCACAATCGTACTTTCATGTAAAAAAAAAAAAAAAAGTTTACATTTCAGGTAGTGTGGATGGAGGCGAAATTGGAATTTGAAATTTTTAGACGTTTGAGTTTAAGTTACTTCAAGTTATTAAGTTTTAAGTTAATATATATATATATATTAAATGATTTTTTTAAGACATACATAATATTTAGACCAAAAGTATAATTAGATTCAATCAAATCTATACTTTATGACTATATTATTGATAATTCACCCATAATAACGCTTTAGCTCATATAATTAAATAACATCCACTGAAATTTCATTTTTTTATGGATAAAAATTCAAGAACATTATCATAAAGTTACACTGAAAAATTTAAAATTTTATGATAATAACTATTTTTCAAAGACGCGATCTTTTGGTTTAATAGCTTAATATAGAAGCTTCTCTCATAATGGTATTGCCCTCTAATCTTAATTAACTGTGTCTAATATAAAATCACTTTGTTTGTGAATAACAAAAGTAATCTTACTTTAGATGACATGAAAAGCTAGATTAATTAAAATAATAATAAAACTCCTATGAAATATATATATATATTACTAAATTCTTCAAGTGGATTGTAATCTTATGGATAATTTATTCCATATTTAATTATAAACTATTCTTCAATAACCAATCCCAGTCATTCTGCATTAATAACTTGCTTTAAAAATGGTATAGTATTTTTTTTATTTAACAAAAAGAATCAGATTTTTTATTAATTATTCACTAATTTTAGATTCTTTAAATTAATTAATCCAAGATAAAGTATAACCACTTAAAGATCCTAATTGTTAATTAATTTGCATTACCCTTTTTCTCAAACTTTGCTTTGATGAACCAGTTTTGGGATATGCATAGATTCTCACCCAATTATTGTATAATAATCTTATTACTATATATTAAAACTTTGTTAGAGTTAGCTAGTTGATAGTCATCAAATGATGTAGTTCATGTTGTTGTTTTCCTTTATTAAAGATTTCGATTTTGAGTTTTGATTACAAAATATTTGTAATAGAGAGCATTATTTCAGAATGAGATCTATTTAGCATGAATCCAATATGTGCTATTGTATGTTGCTTCTTTATTATCGTATTTTCTTATAGTTGTACTTCGATAACTTCTCTTATGAGTCAAGAGTCTATCGAAAAATAACTTTCTTATCCCACAAAAGTATAAATAAGACGTGTATATATCTTATCCTCTTCTAATTAATTTTTATTTGATATTATTATATCAAATACAAAAATAAACTAAAAAAATCAAATAAAGTAATTTGATTGGTTTATAAATTTAACCAAGGTCATAATTATTTAGTATGGTCGCACCTCGTGATACTATTTGACCTCTAGTGACACATTGTTATTGCTAGAAACTTTTTGTTTGTATTCATTTATAATTTTATATCATAATTGCTTTTTTATACATATATATCAAAAAAAATATAAGCTAATTTGATTAACTTATAATTTAATTAAGGTCATAATTATATTGTATGGACGCATCATGTGGTTCTATTTGGTGTCTAGTGATAGATGTTTTTCACACTTATCTGATTAGATAAATTTTATTCTTATTCATACATATCATAATTATTTTTATATTTATTTACCTGATATAATAAAAAAAATCCTATAAACAAATTTCTTCGTTTTATGATTTTAGTCAAAGGTCATAATTACTTAGTATGGATGCATCTCGTGAACTAATTTGGCCTCTAGTGACAAAGTATTTTTTCACATTGATCTTTGCTAATTTGTTTTATATTCTTTTACAATTTTATATCATAGTTATTTTTATATTTATTTTACCCAATATGTATATATACTAAAAAAAAATCTTATAAACTAAATTAATTGGCTTATAATTTTAATTAAAATCATAATTACTTAGTATGGACACATCACGTGATCCTATTTGGCCTCTAGTGATAGGTATTTTCACATTGATCTTGCTAGATATATTTTGTTCTTATTCATTTATATTTCACTTACAGCTATCTAAGACATTCAGGGGCTGTGTAACTGCTGTTAGAACGCTTCGTTACGGATGTCGAAAAGTGAAGATTGGTTCTGTGCCAGGTCATGGTGATATGCTATCGAGGGAAATCCACCTCTTAGATAAAGTCTTCGATCGCCTGAAGATGGCACAGAAAAACAGACCGAACGCCTTCGAGTTATTGGCTCGTCCAACCCGGCAGCATTCATGAGTCGCTAGTTCAACTGTCCCTCGGAGACAGGGTCGATTGAGGAATGAAAGCTCGAAGACAAAGAGAACCGGGCTTTTCCAAAGAATTACTGCAGCTTTTATATTTATTTATCAAATATGTAATACATTGAAAATCCTTATAAGCTAATTTTGATCGGCTTATAGTCATGATCAAAGTCATAATTATTTGGTATGAATGCATCTCGTGATCCTATTTGGTCTCTAGTGATAAATATTCTTCACACTGATCTTGCTAGGTAATATTTGTTTTTAATCATTTATAATATTATATCATAATTATTTTTATACTTATTTACCAAATACATTTTTAAAAAATCTTATAAGCTAATTTGATTGATTTATAATTTTTCACATTGATTTTGGTAGGTAAATTTGTTATTCTTTTACAATTTTATGTCATGATTGTTTTCATACTTATTTGGTAATATATAGTGGTGTCTTTTATGATAGTGACAATTCCTTATATGAGGACAATATAAATGGACATCCAACCCATATGGGCACTTTTGATGATCTAAATAATTATTATATTACCCAATAAAGGGGGCTCTATGATGTGAGTAATCCTTGTTTGGATATAAATTTGTGAAAATTTGAAAAGAAAAATATTTGTTTTTTAAAAAATTTAATATTTGGAAATTGAAATTGTCCTTTGATCTAATACAAATCGAAACTATTTTTAATTTTTGTGGTTTAATACAAATTCAATATGTCTGGGTGAACATTCTCACACCAAATCCTAACCAAATGAATGAAAGATATCACTTCGTTTAATTGCACCTTTTTTCCTTCAAACAAATTGATCTTTAAGTTTTTGTCACTAGAAATCGGGAACTTATGTCTAGTCAAAAGCATAAAACATCACTTATAATATATTATGATGCGAAAATATAAACTAATATCTTCCAAAAAAAATAATCGTCCTGCAATATAAAAATTAAAGAGCAACACAAAATAGGACAAAAGTGCAAATGACTCATGTCAATTTTGTATGAGGTAACTGGAAAGGCCCAAGCCAGAATAAACTGGGCTTAATTGGTACTTGGGCCCAAAATAAATTTTGGTAAGGCCCAAATTGAAATACCTTGGGCCCAAAACCAGAATAAGTTGGCCCATTTCTTCTGGAAAAATAGTTTAGTTGCTTTCATTGAGAGTCGAACTCAAGACCTCCCGCTTACTAAACGGGTGCTCTAACCAACTGAGCTATGAAAGCAGGATGCCAAATTATTGTTAAAGATAGAAATACTAACTAACGAGGGTTGTGATGGAGTGGTAACTACTCTTTCATCCTTAATCAAAGGTCTCGAGTTTGAATCCCCTTGAGTATAAAGTTGTCTTTGTTCGAGAACGCTTTACTCCCTAATGTGAGACTTCCTAGCCCAAATCTAAATTTAGTCAAACTCCAATGTGGATACACTGGGTGGAAACCAAAAAAATAAAATAAAAATGGAAATATTAGTAAAGAAGTTTACTCATGATTCCAGAATATTATCATAGTGGGGTGCATTGTGCATGTTTTTTTCACTTTTACTATTATAATATTATTGAAGGTTAATTTGTAAAACAATGTCTCTCTCACCTCCCTGCGGGATGAACCTTATGGTCATACTTGGACCTTCCTTCTCACCAATAGTATTAGCACTGTTCTCATAGTTTCTTGATCTTCAATCTCGGCTATCACTGTTGTGTTTTTTGTGCTATGATTATTGCAATATTTTGTTGTTGATACCGTTCTTTCTCATGTTTGTTGAGTATTACTCTCCATTTCACTTCTTTTTTTTTTGTCGTTATTTCTACCATCTCTGTATCCCCCTTTTCAAACTGTTTGACAGACGAGGGTCTATCAGAAATAACCTTTCTATTCTACGGGGTAAGGTCTACGAACACTCTACCTTCCCCAGACCTCACTTATGGGGGACTACACTGGGTATGCAGTTGTTGTAATGTATAGTTGCACATGCTAACAAGTCCATCCACATGTATGTAAATCTGCATTTACAGAGTTTGTACAATTTGGAGATGGCAGCATCTTAATTGTAATAATAATTGTTTCTGTGGATATTCTGTATCAAAGACATAGCATTAGTTGTTTTCACTGCTACTGCTGGTGCATCATCTTGCTATTTTCTATCCAAAATGATAGGGAAGCCCTTTGTGTTTTCACTTTAGCCCTGATAAGTTGACAGTTTTCCAGGCACAGCTGATTTTCGACTCACAACTCAACTGTCTTACAGTAAAATCTCTGTGATCCATCAACAACAACATACTCAGTGTAGTCCCACAAAATGGAGCATGAGGACGGTAGACTGTACGCAGATCTTACCTTTACCGCAGAGGTAGAGAGGTTGTATCCAATAGTCTCTGTGATCCATCAGGTGTCTAAAAGGTGGGAGTGGCTGCTGACTACATGCTTTTCTTGAGAGTCACAGCGACATTGCCAAACACATTTTATCAATGTTGCTTCGCCAATTGTGGATGTGCCTTACCGTAGATTTCCTCCTGGGAACTATCGTCGGGGTCATTCCTGCCACTTATGTCACTGAAAGGGTCATCTCTTTATGTCAATTGCCAATGAATGACAAACTTGTGAGGCTCTTCTGCTTTTGAGCAACTAAGAGTTTTGAATGTTACATGTCTAATGTAGTTTCATAATGAAAAGGATTTGAGACATCTGAATTTTTATGGGAAGTAAAAATACCTGTCAACTATTCAAAACACTTTGCGCGCAGATGGTTAGAGTTGAATAAAAATACAGAGAATCGTAGACGTATAAATTCAAATAGGTAACAGCATCAGTCACATCGACAATAATCAAGACGGAAACAAATACAAATTGATCTTTGCAATGAGCAAGTTTTTTGGTTCTTCCTTTCCCCATGGGCATGGCATCTGTCTTTTTTCTCTTCACTGAAAATCAATCATAAAACCATTTACAAACTAACAGATACAACTCCTAAATCATCAACTGTATGCTAGAAATGTATCGACAACATGTTCATTTAAAGTAGAGTAAATAGTGCAGTTTTTTTAAGCAGATGCACAGACAGTATTTTTGTTCAGCCCAGTAGTGCCCAAGTGCTATATGGTTATAAACTGAAAGACGACTTATTAATGCAGGGCAAGCAAGAAACACCTGCTTAAAATAAGTCACCTTGTTCTATAACTTATAACTGCTATTTTTGGTAAATCAATGAGCCTAATATCTTCGATATATCTGAAGATTTGCAAGCTACGTCATCGTTTGTAGTACTATTCATGTTCAGACTTCCCAGAAGTAAAAAAAAGCAAAAATGATAGAGAGAGGTATCCAGTTTTATTAAACTTTAAAATCTACCTAGGCCATATAACCATGATATACAACACTCTTATCTCCAAGAGAAAAAATAGGAAAGACGCTTTGCTTTTGGCAGGAAAACATGGGAATTTGATGATTTAACATTCTGGAAATTAAAAAGAAATACTGGATGCAATGGTAGGCATAGAGACCAAGTCTAACCTAAACGTGGAGTGCAAAATTGGGGAATCTCAACCAAGCATTGTGCGTTTTCTTCCTCTTTGCCTCACTGAAACAGGTCACAAAATCAGAAATATGTTGTCTCTTTTTTCTGGGAATAGCAAGCTAATAAACAGAAAGGGACGTGTACAAAGAGTCGGCAGCACCTTGGGCTAGCTTGTTCAAGGTAGACGACCACTGCTTCGAGGACTTCCTATATGCAGCAAGTATCCGGTCCATCTGCGATAACCATATAAAATCTTAGAAGATGAATCTGTTCTTCACTATAAGTTAAAGTCCTATGGCTTTGCTACAGACTAAAAATAAAACCATTATTCACATGCTTAAGGTAAACTAAAGAGATTCACAAGATAATATGATCACTTTACATGAATGATATAACGTCCAAAGACAAAAGAAAAATTAATTTAAAGAAGAAACTAATATCTTTTTTTCCCTGAAACAAATAATGATTTCAAATTGGGAGATAGAGAAGAGCAAAAAGCTTCAAAATGACCTTCATGACAGAGCTTACCACTTCTCCACAAGAAGAGTGCATAGAGAGTAAAGCACGTTCTAGTACATATAAATCAACTGCTTTATCTTCTGGAAGCGTTGAAGTAAAGCTTAAGCCAAAGTCGATCAGCACCTAGAAAAAAAGTATCATTGATAAAAAAGTAATCTCATTGAGGATAACCTACGAACTTCATCCTTTAAAACAAAGAGAACAAAGAAAATAAGGAAAGACATTGAAGATAAATTCAATTGTGAGAATTGGAGGAACATTCTAAGAGAAAGAAAGAGAAAAGTCCACCAGCTGATTGGCAGCACTCCTCAGTAACATGTTTGATGTTGTCAAATCGCCATGGACTAAGCCACCATCGTGTAGTTTTCCAATAGCATTACCAATTTGCGTTGCAATATCAACCATCCGTTCTTCATCAACACCAACTAGTCCAAAGCCAAGAAATATATCTTTCACAGAAGGACCTTCAATATATTCATAGGTGAGTGTATGCATAACAGGGTCAACAGCATAAAGGACTGGAGTAGCAACACCAAGCCGTCTGGCTTTTGTCACGCACCTTGCCTCCTGCGCCATAATTTCATTTGTTTTAGCATCACAAGCTTTAAGAAAGATTAAAAAAAAGAATAGGTATCATTTGTACCAACCGCATTCAACCCTTTAAGAATAAGTTTTGAGTCCAAAGTTGGATGCCTGTATTTCTTTGAAAACCGTTCCTTGATGATACATCTTCTACCCACAAATGTTGACTCAAAAACCCGCTAATATCAACAGAGAAAGAAGATAAAATGTTAGCGAAATCCCAATGTCAAGTGTCAACAACTATCTGCCATCAAATGAACATTGGCAGAAATAATAATACGCATTATTAGTGAGTTTAATAAAAATACAAAAGACGCCCCCCAACCACACACACAGGGATGGAATCTCATTTTCAGAAGAGCTCTAAATGGTTGGGAGATTGATAAAGTTGTGAGTATGCCACAGGTTCTGAACACATTCCCAGGCATTTCGACTGGCCCTGATAAACAACTGTGGAAGCTACACAGTAAGGGAGTCGAAGTCTTGTTGCTAGAACAAAAATGTTAATTAGTCACTGACAATAACTTGACCTGGGATGTTAGATTTGAAAGATCAAAATCCCCACTAAAAGTCTCCTGTTTTGCTTGGCTGGTAATCAAAAGAGTTTGTTTAACTCGTGAAGTACTGAAGAGGTACACAGATTTGCTCAAGGTTTTTTATGTGTGGCCAAGAAGCAGAGATTATTGACCATTTATTTATGCACTGTAAAACAGCTGAGGGTTGTAAGTGATCTTCTCATCATTCTTTGGATGATGAGTTTTTTGTGTATACAGTTACCTTTATCTCAAAAAGGATAGAAAGAGTAAAGAAAATATTACAGGGAATTTTATAGCAATACAATAGTGAATAGTTAAATATGAACTCACAGCCTCAGCTCCTTGCTTGATTAAAACCAAGGATTCATCATTTCCATCTGTCTTGTTTTCCATCTTTATGAGATCTCCAATTAACTTCAGGTGCAAAAAATAAATTAGAAAATAAGTAAAAACAAATGGATAATCAAAACTTTAGGCTTCCATAGAACAGAGTTATTTAGCTTTTCCAAAATATAAGTACAACATGAAGCTTGCATGCAAAAGGTGCTTGACATTAGGAAATTCTTTGGCACCCAAGGGTGTGCCTAGGGGTTGAGAACCATGAGATCTCAGGTTCAAATTTAAGCAAAGGCAAAAATACTAGGTGATTTTTCTGATATTTGCAAGCCTAGGTGGACAAAGACAAAGTTATCCGGTACTGTGCTAGTGAGAAGTAGGAGATATCTCGTGGAATTAATTGAGGTACACGCAAACAGACCCAAACACCACAGTTATAATTTAAAAAAATCCCTGATTTACACAAAGTTCTTTGTGTTATTTTATATTTTCTTTGTTTTTTCTCCTTCCCATTATATCATGCTTCAATAAATGGTACCAAGGAAAGAGACAAAGCTACCGTTGTAGCTCAGAATAGAGGGAAATTAGTATTTTATGAAGCGTTCTTTATTGTAGCTAAAAGAAAGCTTCAATTTTTACAAGTATAAAACCCAATTAGTAGCATTTTTGGCATCAGCAAAGCAGTAGCTGCAGAAAAGCAAAACTTTATACTCCCACATAAAATTACGAAAAAGAAAAGGAACCTAATACTTAAATCTTGAATTTCTTGCAGAATTTAAAGATATAAATATGAGAACTAAAGGATTTCTTCAACGAGTTTGAACTCCAACACAATACTTGTTAAAGTGAGAAAACTCAAGGATAGAGTCTTTGAGTTCATGATTCTCCAACTAAGAACGTATAGATTTTGTCCTGAAGTTCAAACCCAATGAAATACTTCTTTAGTTCATGATTTTACAATAGGGAGTCCAAAGATTCAACCATTGAGTTCGAACTCTAACATCTTGTGTTGGAGTTTCATTTATTAAATTTCGAACTCCAACACCACACATTGAAGGATATTCTTGGTTCAAATTTTTTCTAAATTACATTTCAGATATCCCACTTCACATTCCACGAGCCATCACATGGGGCCTTAGCGTCAAACTAGTCTAATGATTCATATTGTCTACTTCAACTAGTTTTGAAAAAAAGTTAGATTGCATTAGAATATTAAATCAGCTAATAGTCCTTGTCCGAATTGATTCAATCAACGAGACGACATTCCAAAAATTCAATTTTGAATTTACATCTAGCTCACACACACCAAAAAAACAGAATTTAAGACTAACATACTGGGCATGTGAATTTGTATTCTCTATGCATATATTTTTCTAAAATTGGTATGATATTATTTGTTGGCACAAGGCTAAATGGTGCACGCGTGTTCTAGAAATCCTAGATTCAACTCTGTTATTAACATTGAGGCTGATATTAATTTGCAACAGCAGAATTAGAACATATAAACAAGCAAAACAAATAATGGTATTCAACATAAAAATAACAGTTACCTTCCCTTCTCGTTCAGCAGCAGAAAAGAATCCTTTTTTGAGTCCTAAATAGATATATATAGAGATACAATAACACAGTTTCAGGAAATCAAGAAATAACTATAGATTAAAATACATTCAAGATGAATTTCTTGATATTTTGAAGACAAACAAATTTGTGGGTTTTTCACAAAACCCTAGTGATGGTGGGGTGAGGTGGGGTTGGTAGGGTGGTGAAGGGGCGGGGGTGG